TAAATCTGTTTCCCACCAAACACCCACGGAGGCTGGAGCTCGGGACTATTCTGAGGGATTAGTTCCGCAGTATTTAATGTACCATTTTACATCGTAAAATTACTCTTATACAACTTAATTCAAACAGTGGTATTCGACAAATGTAATATTCAGTTCCTACCGTGTAATTTGCCGTTACAATTTCTCATGTATAGCTACTTTCCTAAATAAACGGATCAGACAATAAAAAATACATTTCGGTAGTTTGGTCCACTTTGGCCTCGTTAGCCCCCCCCCCCCCCCCTACATAAAATCCTCCTCGATATAACAGTATATAACGAAGGGCCAATGGACTGACGGAATATGTTCGCTATAAGGCCGAGGAATACCGTTCGTTATACCGAGGACTTCGATATATGGAGGTTCGTTATTAACGAGGTTCCACTGTTATAAAAGAAAAAGAAAATAGAAGGAAGAACGAAAGGAAGAATGAAGGGTCAAGAATATCCGACATCCGCCGACTGAGTTGGCGAGGTCTTAGAAGGGATTATCGCGCTTTTTGCCAAGAGACAGTTATTAAATTGGCAAGAAACTTGTAAACGACGAATTTTTTGATAAAAGTCCTCTCTATTGAATAGAAATGGCCAGTCTATAAAATCAGCAGAGACCCTAGAAACACGTGCAGGCCCGTCTCGTGGGCGAGCAGGCCAGCTTTCATTTTGAACAGGCATTTCTGAACAGGTTTGAGAATCTTTTGTCTTGAAGGACCACAAACAGCAGAAAGTTGAGACTGGATCTTGGTTTATCAATAAGAAAAATATAGAAAAAAAACGTAAAACAAGGAGGGAACCTCGTCAATGTTTCTTTCAATTGTCGAGGCCTCCTTAATCTTTTCTCCTCTGTTAAAGTTCGCCCCCAGAAAACGCCTCCGCAATCAGTTCGTTTTCTTGGTCTACGTGCTCACGCGAAAGGTGTTAACAATCCGCCCCTCAGGAACGCGTACCTGAACGCCTCAACACTTCTCATCAAGAAGATGTTTGTGGTTAAGTTTCTGTTCTAATGGTTTTCCTCGGTTTTACCTCGTTAGCAGGGTAGCGATTCCCTTTTGGATCTTTTGTAATCGGCAACTGCTTTTGCCTGAAACTGTGGGTTAAAATAAAATAGTATCTCTCTTTATCAATATAGCAGTTGCAAGTCTCCTGCCCCACTTTTTCTAAGTTATCTGGATTGTCCCCGAAAACAGAGAAGTTTACTAACAAAATAGAATTAAACAGGGTGGCGGTGTACAGGCTGAGAAGCGTGTATGATCTCTGCTGCATCGTGTCTTTCTGCGCTTTTCAGTTGTAAGTATAAGCTTTTTCCGTGGGATGCCTGTGGCACTCCCACGGTAAAAATTCGGTTCGGTTGTACCCAAAATTGCAAAGCCAGCCAATAGGATTGCGTAAAATCGTTATCGATTATTTCTTCTTCCAATTCGACCAATGGGATTGTACAAAACCTTTATCGATTTTTGATCGACTTGCTTCCTCTGAAGAACGTTTCAGAACGTTTCATTGTACGAACAAATTGCAAAGCCAGCCAATAGGATTGCCTAAAATCTTTATCGATTATCTCTTCTTCCAAGCCGACCAATCAGACGGTACAAAATCTGTATCGATTTTTAATCGATTTGCTTCCTCTGAAGAACGTTCCTTGCCAAATTTGTCGCCCTTGAGTTTTCCCACTCGTGCTTTAGGATGGCTTGTTAACCAGTGAAATCCTTCGGGATACTGGCAAGTCACGAAGGGCGACCTACGCCAAATAATTTCTTCCCTTCATGATTCTTTTTTGTTTAGGTCTAGCTTTTTCATAAGGTTTTTGTGGCGTCTGGTTGCGGGCCGTGATTTCCGATAGATTTTTCTATTCGGAGTTCGCCAGTTTTTGCCGAGCACAGGTAGAGTTCATTTTTTTTCTTTTCTTATCGAAAACACCTTGACGATGGGAGGTTAAATCGCGTAAATTTCAACTCTTACTCTTGACCATTGGCGGTGAAATCGCGAAAATATTGTTCTCGTCGGTCGACGACTCGCTCTTGGAAAGGATTGGACTTCTGGATGGGACACGGATCAGGACCTTAGTAAACTTATTATACCTTGGAATCAGGGATAATCATTGGAACTATGTTAACTTTGAGACCTTGGAAACACATTGCAATTAATCTTTAGCCGTATCAAGAGCATCTTGGAATATTAAACTTTCATCTTGGATTGAAACATTGGAACTTTATCGAACTTTGTAACCCTGGGTTCGACCCTGGATGAAGCAAGCGGATGTTTAGTTTTCTTTTGTTCCATTAACCTAAAACTACAATGTTTATTTCTCTTTGAAAAAGTTACCTGTGGCAACTTACTATCAAGATATGACGTATATGACGTTTATACATGTAGTTCCTGTTCAGATTAATCAGAGAGCATTTTGCGCATGTTCTCCATTACTTGTTTCCGTTAACATTCAACAATTTAAGTTACACGGGTAAACCTTGTTTTGATGCAAAATAACTTCTTTTTCTTATCCAAATCGTGCTACGAAAATAACTACATAGCTATAGATCAAAACAAGATCAACTCCATCCTTGCGACCACCGACAACTATAAATTTAACTTGCGTAGCAGGTGTCGAAAGGGGTAGTATAGGGGACAGGGAGAAAGCAAAAAGGGGATGTGGATTGGGGAGAAAGAGTAGCCTGCCATGCAGGCTACTATAAATTCAGTCATAAGCACATTAAACCAACCCATACAGGTAACCTACTCATCGATGCTCATAACATGACACATCGTTCCGGTTTCCCTAATTTTTCGAAATTCAGATAGAACGCCATTATACTTCTATAGACCAACGCATCCCACGGAAACGACTTTAGGCGTCTTGTTTGTTTTATAGACTGCATCTTAAATAATGGAGAGGGGCACTGAGGAGACGCTACGGGTGTGGGAGGCTTGCGCGCGAGTCTCCACGCATACGAAACCCTCGCACGTACGGTAACCGGAAGTGGACTTTTTGCATTCTTGGGAAGAGGTTTTGTTTAAATGCTCGGGCAAATCTTCTTCTTCTCGGGTAAAACTTTGGTAGAATCAATGCATATTAAAGAGGAAAAGGCGTCACTTCCGGTTCCTGTCAGTCACTCTAATTGCTTGTGTACAAAGAAGATCAGATAGGACCACTGTTCTGCAGTTTGTTGTTTGGTACGCAATGCCTAGCCTTCCGCGAATCCGAAAAATCAAGTTGTGGTTTATTAATTAGCTTCGTTTGATGATTGAGCCATTTTGGAAAAATAGCTCATATGTCAGTGGTCTAAGCGTACGTATCTTTGTGGCTTTGTGGCTCCAGTTGTGATTTTGTGGCTTTGTCTGTTCGGACACAGGTATCCCAAGCTCGAAACACCGTATTTATTCGATTAACCGCCTTGGGCGCTTATTAAATTTTTGGACCTTGAGAGTGGGCGCTTATTGGAGGTGGGCGCTTATTCGAGGCTGGGCGCTTATTAAATTTTCTACCTTCAGGATGGGCGCTTATTCGAGGTGGGCGCTAATTCGAGGTTGGGCGCTTATTCGAATAAATACGGTATGAGCATCGGCGAGCATCGGCATTGTTGCGTAACGTTCGAAATATAAGGATTTGTATGGGGAAAAAATTTATCGTTTCTGTAACCTACGAAAATGAAAGGGTTTCAATAAAAACAGCTTCCGTTACATAAAATGTGTGTTACGTCTCTCCTGTGAAGTCCGTGGGCCGATTTATGGCTGTTTTATGGGTTATACTGTAAACGGTTTTTTCTGAGAGAAGCATAACGTTTAAATATCTTCATGATTCAAACGCCGAGTACAGTGATGCAGACAGCATACAGTGTTAAAGAGTTCATATTTTAGCGTGGCTGCTGGTTCAAGACATCTTATGGCCCAATTCGGCTATCGCGAACGGCACGGTACGTGAATTATGTTTCACCTGCTTCAAAGTGAAGTGGAAAAAATCATAGTTTTCAAAGGTATTGATTTTAACTTGGAAGTATGCGTAATTGTGTTTTAAGAACCTTGAACAAGAGCTGATTTTTTTTTAAAGCTATTACCGAGTAAATTAACTCCGTAAACATGCCTTATTCTCTCTCGTGCAAAGTTTTTTAACAGATTAAAGAACCTGTAACTTCAAGTTCCGGCAGCGTAAGTGCAACTATATCTGATACATGTTCGGCTCTCATAAAAGTTATTATAACGTAGTATTTAATTTACCCAGTGGCTAAGTAAAGATGGGTAACTTTTGCGTTAGCGAATAAACTTGGAAGTAGGCAGTTGACGAAATAATTAGAGATTGTTTCTTTGAGTGGAATAACAAGTTTCATTGAGTAGAATCGCACTTGAAAACCTCGTGAATTATGATGATGCAACCATCTACCACAATGATAAAAATCCCGGTATTTCGTAACTATTTGGTATTCGATGAGCTACATTTTGTTAAGAAACTCCGAGGAACCTTAAAGTTTTCCTTCTAATCAACGTTTGGTGAGTTAACATTTATTGTACTTTTAATAACAATTTGTTTAACTTGCACCAAGTGTAACAGGGAAAGACAGACGAAAGTGAATATATAGCATGAGGATCGACTCAGGTGAGCGTTTCGCGTTTTCATTTGTGTACCGCAATACCTAACTTCGTACAAAAACCCAGTCTATATTTAGGATGAAAGAGGTAGATTCATCATTCTTGGTACTGTTACACTGAAGCATTCAAAATAGCTCATGCACGTTAAACGTGCCTATGTGTTATAAGTAAGCCATTGCTCTTTCTTTCGTATCTGTTGTTGGTGTTTTATGTTGGATGTGCCAGTCAGGCCTTAAAGAAAATAGAGGCCAAGGAGCCTTACAAGGTCAACCTCTTCCCCAGGGCTTTTTCCTTCCCAACCCTCCCATTTTTTAAAGATAAAAGCCCTGGGACGAGATTGCCACAAGATAAAATCCTACCAACGCCTGACCTGTGACGTTTTCGAAACAATTTAGTTGTTGTAAGCAAAAGTGTTATGGCCTCAATTTGCATGTAACTGTCTCTTCAATACATTTTTAAATTATAATTACGACTGAACAAAATTTATTTAGGGTAAAGAAGTACTTTGTGTAAGGACGGAGTTTTAGTTAAAAGAAGATTTATTAAGAACCAAATTTTATTTCAAGAATAAATAAAGTCGAACCCGTATACTGAAAGGTGGCCACATTAATAGGTTTCGTGCATGTTTATACCTAAATTTCAATATCGGAGGATGATAGTACATCACCAGTCAGCGCTAAAGAAAAAACAAGATTGCGTTGGACGTCTCGCTATTCATCAAAAGCCCAAAATGATGTTGGTTTATTTTCTACTGCCCGATAACGAGTGACAAATGCAGTGAAGCTTGATACACAGTTTCCTATGAAGTGATCAGACATCGTCAGAATGGCCAGGTCTACTATTGGATCACTGATTTCATCTGAGGGGTTTCTCTTATGCACGGAAACCTGCAACAAGTAGGTAGAATCTGATCAGCCAGGTGAGAGGACTGTTGTTGGCAGTGACTGACGTTTCGACAACCTGCTCTTCAACCGCGGATTTTCCCGATTTGTATAGGCACCATAGCCTCCACATTGGTAACGAGAGGTTTCGCCCCCCGTTCTAGTTCGCCTCGTCAAAGTTCATGTGGCAACTTAACTAACCTTACATACCCAGAAATACTTCTTTCTAGTACGTTACATCTACCACCAAGTATGTGTTATTAACCATGAGTGAGGACAAGATCGACTCAGGGAGGATATTGGTCAAGTTCTCTTTATCTTTCTTGGGGGACCAACGCGGAAAACCCCAAGCGGGCAAGACAGGCTCATTTCACTCGCTCGGCAGGTAGCCGATCAGAACACAGTATTCGTTTCATGATACCCGCTCGCTGAATCGGTCATATGATAGCGCAGGATACTGGCCAAACCGAAGTTCTTTTTAAGGCCCGAGACGAGGTCAAAGTCAGTAAAAACGCAAAAAAGGACGCGGCCAATATCCAGCCTTCTTGACCGAATATGCTTGGTCAATAAAGGATTTACCATAAGGCCACTATACCTTTTTCCTGGCGGTACTAACGAGGGAAATCCCAATTTGGCAAGATAGCCGCCTGATCTTGCCATCTCAGGCAGCCAAAAAGAACAGAGGACTAGCTAAGTTTTGGCCGCTCGCAAAAGCTGCATATAATTGAACTTACAGCTTATATAGAACTTGGAGGGCGAACTCCTTGGGGGCTACTTCACTACAAGGCCACCCCAAATATTAGGCCACTTCCGAGTTCCAAAAACCCTCACTTTCAAAATGAGGCATGTTGTGAAACTGAGTTTCATTTGCATGAGAATGAAAAATGATTTCCATATAAAAGGCTGAGCACCTACCCTCGTTCTGAAACAGAGGCCCGGGGGAACTCGGAAATGGTCTATTCAACGTTTGCTTCGGCAGTGGCTTAGCTTTTCAAAACAATATCCATACCTTGAGTGATTTCAGCGCCTGACTCAAATCTTTCAGCATTGGATCGTGGTCTGTTGCCACAAATACTCTTTTAGCTTTGATTTTCTTTACAACCTTTTTAACCTTCTTGAGGATTTCCTTCTTTGGGGGAAAGCACATTTCGTGCGTTAGCTTCTTGGAACCTTCCCGAATGCATTGTGGTGAAGCGAAAAATGAGGTCTGCCTTGGATCTTTGACGTGTTCGCATGCCCTTTCCTGTGAAAGAAACAATTTTTTTGGCGAAAACTGCTCGATGAAAGACGGGTAAAACATATTTGTTTGTAGTCATGGTCAATACACATGAATGTCAAAGAACTAGGTTGTTAGGGGTCAGTAGCACTGAAGATTAGTCAGTACGTCGATTTGCGGTCGTTTCGACTACGAGTCGCGTCTACGTGTTTGTTTCAGTCGCCAACGTCCTAAGCTTGATCAGTGAGCTATATATAGACCTGTTTATAGGAGTCTTTTCGTGTCGTGGCTGAAAGAACGAGGTATATACAGGTGTAGTGCTCGTTAAGACGTTAGTGAGCAGGACGTTAGCGAAACGATGCGTAAGCGAAATGACCGCCGGTCACTACTGGTACGTCGTTATGTAGGAGAATGTGGCAGCATCCTCACAGGGTTACCATCGTCCTTCTTTGTTGCGGACTGTGCTATGCATGCATATGGCGGCTTCAGTTATAAACGAAGCCTCAGAAGATACGGTACTTTCCCCTTCCTAAAGTTCTAATTTCTAAGTGGGTCAAAATTGAAGATTCTAAGACCGCACTCGAAAGCTAAAATCGACAAAATGAAAAAGATGACGACAACTTCAATTTTGGTATCGTGTGACTGTCATGTTTCCATTGTTTCTGACTTGATCCGTTAAAAAGCCGTAAATGCTGAATGTAGAAAAGATTTGTTTATAAAGCGAAATACCCTCGCTCCCTGGCCGGGATCTTAACGAAAACCAAATATAAAAAAACACAGTCTCACTGCGTAGCAAGCGTTTCCGCGCGAGTTCGTCGAGAACAGTTGGACCAGAGCGAAAAAAAGGGATGAAGGGGGAGGGGAGGGGGGAGGGGGAAAGTACCTCCCAACTAACGCTCACCCGGGAGGGGATTACCTCACAATCCTTTGTGTTAGCCTTCGTGAAAGGGGGAGGGGGGAGTCCCTTGTGTCAGTTTCTTGTTCGAGACTTCATGTCATTCTTAGAAATCGAAGGAAAAACACTATTTTCTGGGCAAAATCGCCTGTCAACATTCTCCTCCTAACTACACTAAAACACTATCATACAGTTACGAACGATAGAACTTACAAAATCAATACCATTGCGTAGATGAATACCAACAAATGGCTCATTATTCAGAACACTTTTAATAAATTCCTTGGCTTTCTTTTTAATCTTCTTTGACCAATGGACAAACTTTTGAAGCCACCAGTTGTGCTCCCGGACGGGAAACTCCCCAGGAGCTCCCATCAGAGCTATTACGGGATACTCCGAAGCTGGAAATCTAAAGTACAGCGAAGACAAATACAAGAATTGTATAAGGGTCTTGTGATGTAAGCTGAAAATTTCAGACTGTTTTGCTTCTTGTAAGAAAGATAACATGTTTTTTAAGTCACGAACGTGGAAAAAATTAACGGTAAAAAATGTCGAGTATTTATTTTAAACCCTATTCAATGAGCTGTGGAGAGACTCATCAAGGCACTTCACTAATTTCATGTGACATTTGTCTTGCATACTGTTAAGAACTGTGCACTGTCAATAAAGTACCATATGGTCATAATTAAAGAGAAATGATAAATTTTAAGCTCAGTTGTAGTAAAGTGAGAAAGATATAACCAGTTTTTCATGTAAAGTGCATTGGGCAAAGAACCGATTATTTAGTCTCCTTTTACTCCTCCTCCCAGTTCCCTGCATAACCTAGTAATAGCCAATGAAAGAAGCAGCAGCACCCCCTGGGGGAGACTAACATATAAAAGTGCCAAGAATGCTCATCATCTCGCTTAGGAGTAGACTGTAAGAAAATAGGTTTAGGGTTGCGTAGAAGTAAAGTAAGAGTCTCACAGGCACAAAGCGAAGCGAAGGGCGTGTGAGGCGAGAGAAAAAAGTCCGTATTTTTAGCGTCTCTCCCCAGTCAAGCTCTTCATTTTCAGCTTCACTCCAAACCTTTTGTCTGACTTTTGGTGCCTACCAAGAGCCAGAGGGGGACCATTATGGCTCTTGCACCCAAAAATACAGACTGTTTTGCAGTCTATCTTAGGAGTGTAAATTGCATATTCTGGTCTCGCTAAGGGTGTTTGGGATAGACAGTCACTATATTTGCCCATTCAGGTTATTGCTTAGGGCTGTGCATAAAGAAATTTACAAAAAAATGCCATGATATCTGTTTTTAATGGTATGGTCTCATTTAGGGGTCAGTTTAACCTTGAGCCACGCCCACATTGGTTCTCCCTTAGGGAGTTTAATTCTAATTTTCCGAACAGCATCCCTGTCACTGTTACATGGAAGTCCCTCACAGGCAGTAGGGGCGGATCCAGGATTTTTTTTAGGAAGGGGTGCACTCGTCTCTTGCTCATCAACCCAATGTCACACATTTTTTTTTTTTTTTTTGCAGAATACCAGTTGTATTAGAAAAAGGTCATCTCACGGCACCCTCCCCTAGATCCGCCCCTGGACAGCACCCCCAAATAGTGCTATAGTACAACTTGACACAACACTGGGCCAGTCTCATGTGTAATTTCAAAATGGCCAATACATGTAGCCTAACTAACATATCTCTAACTAACATAAATTAAGATCAGAACTAAGTCCAATATCACATCCTCACTGCAATTATACTGTTACACTGCCCTTCAAAAATATGTTCCTTCTTACCTTTCTAGCCAAGCTTGTCTGCTGTGTTCACTTTTCATGTCCCACAACATGCCAGTATGTTCCCGATAGTCATCAAAATTTATGTTAAAATGATCCCAGAAAGGACCAAATGGATTCCCCTCCTTCATTCTACATTTATGCCCAGAAACCTGAAATGAAAAAGCACTGAGTAGACAGAAACATTTTGAATGGTGACACATACTCAGAGAGAGGGGGGGGGAAAAGAATAGTGCCTAGGGTCTAAAAACCCTTTTTTGACAATGTTAATGGCAACATATTAAACCTTCATTAAACAAATTGTTTTGATTTTTTTTCTTTTTTGAATTTGATTCTTTTTCTTTTAAGGTTTATAGGGATTAGTTCAGATATTTCATTTGGTTTTGTTTTGTTTTTAGCAGAAAAAGGACTAAGAAGTTAAAAATATTAACCTTGACATTAGATTGCTTTCCTAATTCTAGGACTCTAAAAATGCAAGCGTTTCTTTGTTGTGTGTGTGTGTTTGTGTGTGTGAGACCATGGAAAATGGGGATAAGAATTGCGATGATACCCTAATTAAGGATCAAGATCTTCACAAACCATACCCTATAGGGTGGCACATACCAATCTAGCACATAAATGGAAGTCAGTACTCCCCCAGGCTGTACATGCAATATTTACAAGAACTGACGATGTTGTCATTCCTGTGTCCTCAGACAGTCTTGACCTCAAATTATGCAAAACGTCAGCATCTCAGTCAGTCACATCTATTATATCCCTTTACCACACCATCTTGATCTACTTCTTATTGATGTTTAAAACTAGGTCTGAATGTGTAATACCAGTGGAACCCTTATGTCTTAAATAGTTTAGTCCAACTGAAACAGGAGTAAAGAAGCATCATTACAGACTGAGAAAAAATACCAACCTATACGTTGACCAGGAGGCCAAACACTTGGTGCAATATCTTTCATAAATTTTTCCATTGTTATAACATTGTGATAAGCTTCAAGTGGTTTTACAAGAAACCATTCATCAAATGGTACCCTCTCCTGGAAAATAAATCAAACCATAGATTATAACAAGTCTCCCCATATTTAACCAACCTATGCCACTGATATTAGTATTATAAAGGAAATAAAGGGAGATGTAAAGAATCAACCATAAGAGGACACAGAAAAAATCTGATCCCCAGATGGGATTTGAACTCACGACCCTAAAGAAAAATTACATCTTCCTTTATTTCCTTCATAATACTAATTATTATCAGTGGCATAGGTTGGTTGGTTGGAGGCTCCTTCATAGGCGAGGCATTTCTTGCAATTAATGTGACTGCGTGATGCAGTTAAGCCTTAATGTGGTGCTTGTGATGGACTGTGTGACTGCGAGATGGGGTACGCAAGTCCAACCCACAAAAATGACCCTTGCTCACCAACGAGTCCTCAGTAGCTTAGAGGTTACAGCATTCCATCTAGAACACGGAGGGTTGTGGGTTCAAATCCCAACTGGGGCTCAGATTTTTTTTTCTGTGTCCTCTTATGGTCGATTCTTTACATCTAACTTTATTTCCTCCCCATATTTGCCATTGAAAAGTCTCATTTGAGAGGTGGCAGACAAAATCCTAAAATTGTTTATTAGACCTCCACAGATATTAGATCTCCACAGGTTGGCATCTCTGAGAATCAGACCTGATGACCCCTGATCAAGGAAAATCTGGTGACTAGTAAAAAAAATTGGAGATTCTACAAAAAGTGGTGAGATTCTCATTTTTGTCAAACCAAGATTAAACCAACCCTGTTTCCATTGGGGGAATTAATTGTACCTTGTTTTAGTGTGGTCCCACTTGTGACAAGATACCGCTTTTTTAGTTTTTTGACGACTCTTAGAGGCCATGGAAGAGGTCATAACTGGGATGAAACTTACAGCAAAGGGTGGATTCCTCTGAATTATCAGCCAACTTCATGGCCAAAGTGTTGGACAAAGTGCCATCAAGGCTTAAACAAGCACTAGCAATCAACAGGAAATTTCCGTTTTTATTCAAAAAAGTAACATCTGATATCAGAATGATATTTCCCAAAACACCGTGAGATTGGGTGAGAGTTGGCAAGTCTGGAGAAAACAGTTTTACATTTATGTTCGAAAATATAGTAACAACAATTCTTACAGAGCCTCCAATTTTGTAGCTTGGGTATACTATCCAGGGAGGAAGTACAAGAGTCCTATTCAGTCCCTTTGCAAATGAAAGTGATCCCAAGAACTGATCAGCTTGGTTTCCAAATCGACCTGTATACAATACCAAATAAATAAAAAAAATTAGTTTTTCCAGGAACAGTAGAGACACACCTGCTGGGAAAATAGACAGGGCTGTCATAGACAGGGCCAAGGGCTAGGAATAAATTCCCCCGGATAAATGACCACAAGCACGACCACAACATACCGTAAAATTCTGAAAATAAGCACCGAGGCTTATATTTTTCAAAGGCCCTTTTGGAGGGGCTTATTTTTGGAGGGGGCTATATTCGGAGGGGCTTATGGATGGAGGGAAATTTGGGTTATAAAATCGGTTGGGCTAGCTCGTAGTGCAAAGGAAATTTACCATTTTTGCTTTGTTTTATTTTGTATTCGAGGGTAAATTCCAAGTACAAGCCCCCCGGGGGGCTTATATTCGGAGGGGCGATTTAACAGAGGGTGTTTTGCATTACGATTTTGGGGGGCTTATATTTGGAGGGGCCTATACATGGAGGGGCTTATTTTACACAATGAAGAACATCAATATTTTTTGGGTGATATTAAATTCCACAATACCCTCGACTCTTTGTTGATTTTACAAAAAAAAACGAATTAACCGCATAGGCCTCTGCACCAAGATACATCTAACTCATTCTGTTAAGTACTGTTTCTTTTATGTACTATGAATAATGTTTTCATAATAATTTATAACTTACCCATACAGGGACAGTAAACAATGTACCCCGTGCTCTGATCATTGGAAGAAAACGAGATTGGTTGTTGACTTCCTGCAACATCAAATGCTATTTGCTCATCGAGATTTTCTTTTCCACTAATGGTAACTAAAACTGATAAATATGAAACTAAAACCAATGCGAACGAAGAGCAAAAAGACGCTGAATCCCGTTTCACGTTCATTCTTTTAAGAAAGTAAACATTGACCATCACCCAGCGGTCACCCGAAGGAGCAGGTAAACCTGTGTATAAACAACCTTATCTGGTGTGACTTGTTCAAAGTTCTGCGATCGGAACATTCCATGTTTTTTTTCGAATGACGTCGGAGCTTTCCAAAATGTTGATTTCATCACAAACGCGTTCAACCTTAGTGATCAAGGCAGAAAAATAATTAGACAGCTGTAGAGCATTTCGTCTACCATATATGACGTACGGTGACGTACGGTGACGTACGGTGACACGTACGTCCGAGTCCTTGCACAGGTTCCCCAAGATCGGTGTCAGTATAAGGATTTGTAGTCTTTGTTACGATTTTTTCCCAGTGTAAAGGCTACGACAACAAATTACAACAACTTGACAGACTTAAAAATTGACCGACTACAACCTTAGTGAGTACTATACAGATTATTGTCGACAAACGCACTGACTAACAAATATTTTGAACGAATAAACCAAAAAAGTTTTCTGTATTTTTTCCAATTCAAGACTAATTGATGCTCTTTAATTGATGCGAAACTGGACTCTGCTGCGAAATAGTAGTTTTGTATTTCGTAACTGTCAGTGTAGGCCTTACCATCTCCTTACCTGTACCATTGATCGCATATTACAGATTCAGGCGCGGATCCACACCAGTTTCCACTGTTTTACGGAAATCGGTCAGATTTTTACCAAGTTGATATCTGTCAAATGTTTTTGGCAGCCAGTAAACAAAATCCTGTCTGAATGACCCCCCAGAAGCTTGCTTTTTTTTTTGATAAGACAGCTTTGTCGAAAATGCTGATTGATTTCAGAGGATGAGAGGGAGAATTTTAGAATAGCTCAAAACCGATGTGTTAAATAAAAAACGGATTCGAACTTAATTGGCCCTGAATTGAAATGGCAGATAAATTCACCTCAACAAACACCAAGCTGAAGTTGTCTGCCAATTCACTACCTGTTCGCCAACTCCAAATTCATTTACATGTAAGCTAGAAAAAAGCAGAGAACCATTTTTAAAAGCGCCGTGAAAACGGACGCTGACCATTGTTGGGAGTTGTTGCGTCCGTTTGCACATAGCTAAACTGAGTTTGACTGGCTTCAATCGTTGCACAAAAACTCAGCCCCCCCTGCTCCCAACAACACGCAACAACGCAAACGGACGCAACATGTGACATCCAACATTGTTGGGAGTTGTTGGCCAAAAATGTTGCGTCTGTTTGCATGGCCGGGCAAAAATACTTATTATTGCACAGCTGCAACTCAGCTATACCGATGATTTTTATGCACCGAAAATTTTCGTTTCTACGTGAACCAAATCTCAGTTATACAGTCTTACAAAAAACTAAAATCACAAATCAGATCAAATCGCCGGTTTAATGTCCGTTTTGCAGTCGGAAGACTGAATTGTAGGATACCTTACAAGCTGTGATAAATACACAAATACGCTACATTGATTTACAAGATTAATATTTAACACTAACAAAATTTGAAAAACGTTCAGTCCTTGTGGCCATGGGCCTGCTAGAACTCCCTGATCTTAGACACACACTGGTAGATATAGGTACCACTCTGTTTAGTGGGTATAATGGGTTACCTGGCCGAACCTTAAATTTAATACACGAGACTCCCCGACGGTCAGAAAGAGTGGATTTTATGCAGCTTTGTCAAGTGCTGTTTCATACGAAATACCAGGCCAAATGATGGAAAGGGCCCTTTTTTATAGCAAGCAAGATACTTAGGCAAACCAGCAAAGACAACGAAGGCGTACTCTAGTATAGAGCGAATTTGCGCGCAGTAGATAAGAACAATATCAGCCGACGGAACTTTGCACTTCTTGAGTTGTCTTAGTCTATAAAGCCGTCTGTTGGCCTTCTTCACTATGTAGTCGCAGTGCACTGCCCAAGTGAAGTCCTCAGAAAGATGGACACCGAGGAGCTTAAATGTTGAGACCTTTTCAATATCGGACCAACCAACCGAGAATGGGCGCGGAACGCAACTATTGTAGTGAAGAAAGTCAACAGTCATAAACTGTACGTGTTTGCTTCACTGACATGTCGCGTGAGAACGATTTTCCACGGCAATTAGAATTCTTTTGTTGGCAGGCTAGAACAGGCATGAAAAAAACACACAAAATTCTTTGTTTGAACATATCTGATTAGCATTTTTTATGCACATGTGTGAAAATGACAGGCAGCGTTCTATTTATTCTACTTCGGAGTTCCTATTTTGTATTTTAGTTTTCAACATCTTTGACGAGTGATCTGTGACTTCTTTCTTCATAATTAAGGAAAGTTTAATTTAAGGCAGTCTTTTAGGTTAACTACAATGGTAAGTAAGAACTGAAATATTCTAATATCCTGGTAACGAATCCTTTTAATCTACATGTTTGTCCTTTATTCATTTACTTATATTTTATTTCCTTTTCCCTGTTTTCGGTAAAAAATAAACACAAAAGATTCGGATAAGGCTTGAATCAAAAAAGAGGAAGAACCATCCTTGATCCTTGAAGTCAAGATCAATCGCGGCGCTAACTCGAAGATCATCCGCAAGTAATGAACGAGCAAGTCGCCCGCTTGCTCCTTTCAGCGCAAAACGACTAAAACTAATGAAGCGGCGTTAAATATGAAGAAGCGTACAAACCCTTTTTTTTCTAAATTTAATCACGATAATATGAAAACTTAAACACCAGGAAACTCGAGAACTGAGCTGGTATAAAGCTTCAGAGCATCTGTGGAGTCACCGAATTACTGTATTGTTATTCCACCGGCGCGGAAGAAAAATTCAGAAAAGGGTTATTTAAATAAAGACTCCAAATTTGAATTTAAATTGTTCAGTTCTCAAAGCATACTATGAATTCTTTTTAAGCTAGAATTTAAATTTGAAAAATTTTAAAATTTTCATAAAATCTAAAACAAGGAAAAGGTATAGAATTCCAGCCGGACGAAAAGTGATCTTTGTCCAGTGTGAAACAGATCGCCGACACGGCTGGTGACGAAAAAAAATTCTTTTTTCTTGTCTAAGCGACCCGCATTTTACCTGCAGCTGATCATACATGGAAGATCTGTTTACATTACCTTAAAGTGAAACCTAACAAATACAGTTGTTATCTGTTCAGCTTCTCAAAGAGCAAAGGACGTTAGAAAAGTTTCGTGCTAAAAATAGCCTGTATGGCTCACAGAGTAAGTTCTTGCGAGGACATATCATTTGAAGCCTGCAGAAAAGACGTTACTTTTCCGCGTTTTTCGGGAGATATTCCCCGTCGCGCGTGTCTCGCACGCTCCTCGCTAGCTTCGTGGTTGCCTTCGCTCGCCTGTAAAACGCGAAAAGGTAACGCCTGTTCCGTAGGCTATATCATTTGCGACGGAATTCCTCGTTCTCAAGCTCCTGAGGCCGGTTAAATAGCTACAGAAGGTGGCTCCTGAGAACTTAGTACAAGGGTACCATTAATGGAGAAAAGTTTAAATATATATCATGCCTTGTTGATTCTAGCTTTACAAAGAGCATAATGTATTATTTTTCTTTCTTTTATTTTCAGGAGGTATTCCATGTGAACACCAAAGGAACTCTCTTGTTTCAGGACTGGAGATATACTTCCATATCAGGTCAGTACGAAACTCTTTTACATTAGAATTACCGGCAGTATTGCGGTAGTATTAGTAGTATTATACTAGTTCTGAAATACTACCTCTTACACTGGGACCTCTCCTTTGCTACACTTCTATTCAAGGGACACTTCCATTCAGAGGACATAAAATTTGGTCCCGGAAAAATGTTTACACGATTTAGTTGTATTTGTTACCTCTATTGAAGGGACGCCAGCTCTACTCAGGGGAAGGGGACACCTTTTCTGGGTCTCGAAACGTTGGTTTAACCTCCATTCAGCCGACACCTTAGCAATCAAAAAGAGACTGACCACAAAATTCGTCGATAAGTTTAAGTTTTCACTAGTCACAATAGCAACAGCTTTCAAAACATGAATTAACTGAATTAACTGAATGTACTGCACTTCTGGTAACTCACCACACAACATCGCAGAGATAGGTTAATCCAGCCGTCTATGATAGGCTCCTTGTTAATCATGATTTTTTATACATTATCTACCTGCTTGAAATAATGACTCCAGCAGATTCCCTAGCATGCGAGAGCAGATGCCTTTTTAGGCTCTTGTAAAGATATTTTATTGGTTGGTTAATTATTAACATTCCCAGCCCAAGCTCCATTCAGGGGACACTTCCCTTGGTCCTGAGGGTGTCTCCTGAATAGAGCCTTAGAGGTTCCACCGTATCAAATTTCTCCTGAGCAGAGTTAACCTAGCCTGCGAAAAAATCCGTTTCTCCTCGGTCTTCGCCGCTGGGGACGTGTACCTCAGCGGCGATGAGCGAGGAGAAACGTCTGCCGTTCGCAGGCTAGAGTTAACCATACTAGAAGCCTATGGTTAGAAGCTATACCTCTCTAATTGATTCTTATTATTTCTTGGTTTCAGCCCTTGTTGGAGTGTGTTTAGCAACTTTTTTGTTTACTGCATTATATGAGGGAGTTAAAATATTTAGAATATGGCTCGAGTCCAGACCTCTGAGACTCTTGATCCGAGACCTAACACAATCGACACCTACAAATGAAGATGACGATGCTCAAAGTGAATTCAACTCCAGGGGGAGTCTGCAGCAACGTATAATTAGATTTCCCAGACAGAGGTAAATCCTGCTGAAAAGTGTGCATTTGGGGCCTATGAAAATATAGCCTGGTACCAGGCTCGGTAGTGGGAGGAAAGGCACAAAAAAATGGGTAGGACAGCAAAAATCGGCGAGCGAAGCGAACCTAGTGGTGGGCTGAAGACGGGGAAAGGTCACCACCCTTTCCCTTCCCCAGACTACCGCTTGGCACGATTAGCTCGCAATTTTTTTTTTTAAATTTTGTTCGCCCAATTTTTTTCCGTTTTTTCCCCCACTACGCAGCCTGGCCTCAGACAAATTATAAAAACGTTATTTAGCTAAGCGTTAAACATGGGCGAGTTAAACCTGGGAGTTTCAGGCGAGATGGAAAACCTTCGTTACAGTTTTATCCTCTTGTCTCTGTTTTGCCGGCGGGAAATGACTGAAATGATGCTTGCGTGCCAAACTCGGCACTGGCTTGTGAGAGAATAGGTGAATCACGAGGAGATCAACCTCGTTTCCAGGAATTTCCTCGAAAATTAAGAGGCTTACACGTGGTCAGAGTCATGTGCCGTTGGGTTGCTAACCCTGAGATGGGGGAAGGTCAATGAAGATTTCTGTCAGCTTTAAAATTGGAAAAGGAGATGATTACTGAAATGTAAACTTACGCGAGGTAAATATGGGGAATGTGTGCTTGTTTTTGGCTTGGACAAATGTAAAGTCGTTCGCGTCGCTTGTCAGTTGCGTAGCTGCTTTGTTTGCGTTTCTCTCGGGGCGTAAACAAACTAACTACGCGATCGACTGAGCGAGGCGAACGACTTCGTAAATGCTAACAGCCATGCCGGAAAGAAGCCTCTGCACGCTGGGTAGCAGCAAGCTACTTCCGCACTAGACCCATATCACGCTGTTTTCACGGGGCGGTTTATTTTTAGAAGACACATTTTAGAACACTTTTTCCCAGGAAAATAAAAGGTCCGTTCCGTCTGTGAGCGCATTGGTAGAAAGGAAAACTAAATATCTAAGTCATGATCATTGAAAGGTAATTTTTTAAAAAAATACCATTTTTAGATCTGCAGGTTTCTCTGACTCGTTCTAGGAAACTGGTCGGTGAAATCGACGTGATACGAATAAAAGTTGAATGTTCCTAACTCTGGGTTATGAGCTCCTGGTTGTAATCAACTCTGTTTATACTTGTTTCAGCGGGAAGTGGAGAAGTGACATTCACTTGTTACAGACGTTTTTACATGTGCTGCAGGTGTTTGTTGGATACGTACTGATGCTCATAGTGATGACGTATAACACGTGGCTTGGCATCGCGGTGATCGCTGGGGCAGGAACAGGATACGTGGTGTTTTCAGCGATTTTCCCAGATAATTTGCGATTCCAAAGAAGAATCGAAAAAGGTTTCCAATTAGGGGAAATTTCATGTGAAAATGACTCTAGGTTAATTGATAATTAAAGAAATATGATGAAAGGTTTAAATTTTTATTCTGAAATAAATGCCACCTAAAGTACTGCATCATAACATTCCGCTTACAAGAAAAGAAAGTCGAACCTCGCGCCAATCTCATTCCCAGACGCTACGATCTTATTGGTCAACACCAAGAATTAGCCTATCCCGCTAAATTAGGGTAGTAGTAAGGTTCTGGCGAAAGATTGACCCAACCTTGTCCCCAGGTTCTCTTTCCTACGCGTCGAGAGACGAGGAGAGAACCCTGGAAACGAGGCTGAGATTGACCTCGTGCTCGTGCTATTCATTCTAGTAGCTTATGCGGGAGGCCGTGGGTTCAAACCCTGGCCGAATCAACACTCAGGGACGTTAAATAATTGAGTGGTGAGAAAGTGCTGTCTTCGTAATGATATCTGCCAAAACAGTTAGACTTTCTAGTCTTCTTGGGTAAAGACGATAAAGCACAGGCCCCGTTTCGCAACCCCTTCTCATAATAGAGGGCCATTTCCGTGTTCCCCCAAACCTCTGTATCACAACAAGGTTAAGTGATCAACCTTTGATATGGAAGTGATTTTCCATTCTCGTGCAAATAAAACGCATTTCCACAAGAAAGGTTGTGAACTTGGCCTCATTTTGAAAGCGAGGTGTTTTTGGAACTCGGAAGTGGCCTATTCTATACGGTTGAGTGGGGAACGTAGTCCTGGGCGTGGTCAACCTCGTCCCCTTCGAAGAATGGCCGGTAAGCTACACGCATATCGTCACTTAAATCATCATCATCATTAAAATAGTATTACTGATGAATTCATCCTTTATTCATACACAAAAATATCATAACATACAAACATGTATTATCTGCATAAAGTTACAATTCTATCAGCAATTTTCCCTTTCACGGAATAAAATTACCAAACAATTCCTAAGAACCAACAGTGATTTAACAGAAACATTAAACGTCAAGCGATGCCTGACTCTCATGGATTGTTTGTTTGAAAATGCAAACGTTTTTATGTATTTTGGCCTTGCTTCCACGTTAAAACGATCAAAAACGGAGAATTGTTATAAACAATGTTTCGAAAACGAAAATCGTAGTCTCTCCACTGTGGAGAGGCCTTTTAAAATAGGTTTTCGAAAACGCTGATGTCATAACTACTTATTCATTGCTTCGAGTACAGACATTACAGCCTGAGAAAGACATGTTATCGTAATGAACTTCGTTTTTGATTGCTTATTGTGGACGGGAAGCTAGCCACATCGTCAAATGATTAAATTAAAGGTTTCATAGACAACGTGAAAAGGAATCAACAAATTTTCTTTTCTCCCGGCTGATGAATTTCAAGCTGAATATTTCAATTGGCAGTACGTTCGTTTGTGTCAAGAGTGTGGGATATCGAAACTAGGTAGACTCTTTATCATAGGTTTGAATTTCTTAGCGGATTCATTTTCCGTTGTTCAACGTTGGTGACATAATAAACATCGCCTTTCATGTTACTCATTCGGTCGCTAAAATCGAGCAGATAACCAATTTTAAAAATTTTCACTCCTGGAAAAAAGGTAGTGCTGGTAGTTCATAGTTTCCAAAAAATATGACACAAGATCATACATGACGATTTTAAAAACTAGAGAAAAATAGCCCCATTAAATCTGGATAAAACTTACGGAAATTCAGCCAAAAATAGTTAAAATGTTAAAGACTATTATTATTATTATTATTATTATTATTATTATTATTATTACTATATTCTCAACACAGCTCAAGGAACCATAAAATAAAATAATCAAACTAAACAAAAAATATCCAAGTTTTCACCCACAAAAATAGATTATGTTTTACCAGTAATATTATGTTCAACCTCTACACCCACTGGTAGAAAAAGAAATAGCACAAAAACTAATCTTATTTTCCCTAAAATAGAAATAATAAGATTGATTAAAACCATCCAGTATTTTTGAACGAGTTATAAGTAAAGCTCTTGCCACTATTAATATGAATATTAATATGACCCCACAAGTCTCAATATGAATGATAAGGGAGCCAATCCTAATAGCAATACTGTACCAATGTAGGGACAATATGAATTTGGTATACTGTAGGAACTAAAGATAACTATTTGCAATTGTGAAGTGTCTGTTAACATCTGTACGTGCTATTTGGATCATTTGCAAATTATTCCAACAATTAAGCTTCAACTTCAAGTTAGGACATTGTTGAAATAATGTGCAAATGAAACAGTGGGAGTGACTCAGCAAGTAAATCAACCCTTATCCAGGCACAGGAGTCAACAGTTTGACTCAACACATCAGCCGAGCAGCAGCTACAAGTATTTAGGGTCTCTCGACTTCGAATAATTGAGGTTTCTAACAGAGCTGGAAACTACATTATCAATAATCAAAATAACCTAAAAATTATCTAAGCTAGAACTCAAAAATTTGGTCAGACAATCAAGGACAAAACAATTTAAAGTGAGTGAAAGAAAAAAAAGAATGCTTGTGATTGCACTGGTCACCAATCACAGAAACCACATTACGGACTATGGCTAAAGTAATACCAAATTAATAAAAAAAGAATTATTATGTATACTAGCCAAGAAAATAGGAGGGTCCCAACTTTTGTAAAACTTGAGAAGATAGGTCTAGAGAATTGTTATGTGTTGCATTTTGAGTTTGACAGCGACTATATTTTGCCTGCTCTCAACTGATCATTCCTCAGCTACTTGTGCTTAATTATCTTAGACTTTAGAAAGCATCATTAATTTTTTTTCCATGTACTTTTTCTTGGTTTCTTAGCACTTACTCGATACTTATTCCCTAGTTTCTATAATCAATTTCTTTCAATTTATTACTTCGCATTTCTACTAAGTACTTTCGCCTTTTATGCTGTCAGGGAAGTGAAAAACTTCCAATTTCTTGTCGTTGCAATTAGCTCACTGACTTTGTAACTACTGCTGCAATTGTACTAATTGAATAAATAATTTTTTGTTGTATCAAACCTTCAAAATCTGGACACAAATTATACATGCAAAAAAGATCGCTTGTTGAAATTATTTAATCTGTAGAAGCATATGGACTTTTGTGATTGGCAACAATTAAGTGCAAAAGCCATCTATTATTAAGGGATATAAAAGTTCTTGATAGAACAAGTGTACAATATAAAACAGTGTTTGCTGTTTGTAAGCTAGAGAATTACTGTAGTCTTTGAGCAAGCTCACCATTATTTTGAGGGAGTAGCGAGAAGTCACAGGAGAGCCGCACGCTGAAGAAGACACTCGCTATAAATGGAGAGCTTACTCGCAGGCTAACCAAACTGATGACGTAATGTTTCTCTGCTCATGTTCCAATCTTGTTTTACAATTGCTTCTGCAGGTTCATAAAAAACTGAAGCTTAAATACATGTACTGGTACTTTGAAAAACAAGTTTCACTTTTGTAAAAATCTACAAGCCAAAATTTGTTAGCTAAATATGCATGTCATATTATTACACCTTGAAAGAAGGTTGCTTACCTTTTTGTTACATTGATATGTAAAATAATGTTCAAATTTTCTGAAACAAATCATGTACACAAAATTTTTTTACCTACCACATCAGCATTGCTTATGATTTATGGTGAGGTGGGACAGGGAGTGAAACTTCTCAGGAGAGGAGGGTAAGGAAAGAAAGCAGGAAGTGGGAATATCCTTTGGTGGAATATGACATGGGCTGGGGGGGGGGATAAATGCTGTCAAAGGGGAAAGGAAGAAACTGAACTTCAGATTTAAAATTGGAGGCAAGTTAAAACAAAGGCTCAGATTCCAGTATTCAAGATTTCAGGGCAAAAAAATATGCCAATACTGTTTTAGGACAAGGACCTAGATTTCAGTGCACAAACAAATACAAACCAAACATAG